ATAAAATCATTCAGAACCACTTTTGATGGGGAAATATGAAGGTAAAGTCACTAGGAGCTTATTTGACTTGAAGGCAGTTGGCACGATAATTTGGTACTCGGCCTAAAATGCTAGCAGGGCGCTATATAGTGGGGAAAATGGCGAAAAAACGAAGTGAAACGGTCAAAAACCTGCGAAGAAAAGCCTTCGTTCTCAATGACTCAAAAAGCAATTTCGGACGAGTTTCCCGTAGGCATCTTGCCAATACCGCTACGGTAGATACGGCTGCACGTATGTACTCATATATCCATGCAGCACCGCAGCCGCTTCATACCAATCCCTTCGCTTCATATTTTACTTAGCAAATGAAGCAATACGAGCATCAGGTACGGTCGTCCATTTGTGGGCGGGCGGGCGCGGTGGGCGTTTGGGTCGGTATGTTGCAGCTTGATAGGACCCTTATAAGGTACCTCTTTGGAAAAGGCGCTACGCAGCGCCTGCTCAGGGTCGCGGAATTCCGTCCTGCCAGGCGTATTAATCCTACTCGTCTTAGGGATTTATCGTGCCAACTGCCTTTAAAGGCAGAGCCCGCGTTCATTTGATGTTCTCACGCGCGCCTTGAATACAGTAGCCCTGCTTACAAGGATGGAGGATGCGCTAAATGCACTACCCAAACATACGCGAGGACTGCGCCGTTCGCTGGTGAAGAGGCTGCCGCCCAGCCCACTGGCTGCCACAACGCCCAACTTCATTTCTAATGGTTGCCTGATGGTGCGGTTGTTCCACTACTAACTTTCTCCACTTCGAACGGTGAGAGTGAGACGATGCAGGATACTGATACCAACAAAGAGAACTCGTGCGATCACGCATTCCCTTCTCCTTATGCGCGTACAACCTCAGTTCTTTGGTTATACATAGGGCATTTCCCATGATTTTTTTTCTGCTTTTTTTCTTTACTACTGAACCACCAGCACCTTGTTATAACTAACGGGAAGTCCGCCAACTTACATGAACTTTTGAATGGAGACCTGGGTAGATCGATAGAGTCTATAAGGTTATTTACAAATATAGATAGCAAAACTGCAACCTGCATTTCACAAGCAACTTATGAGCAGGTAAAGTTTGTAATGGTGCAGTAGGGTGGAGGCTTGGTGGTGAGCTGTGAAGCATAAGCGAGGAATCGCATACGTCGAATCGAGTCGTCGAACGTCGAACCTTACCACTGAACCACCACGACTCGATTCGACGTATGCGATTCCTCGCTTATGCTTCACAGCTCACCACCAAGCCTCCACCCTACTGCACCATTACAAACTTTACCTGCTCATAAGTTGCTTGTGAAATGCAGGTTGCAGTTTTGCTATCTATATTTGTAAATAACCTTATAGACTCTATCGATCTCAGGTCTCCATTCAAAGGTCCATGCTAAGCTGGTGGACTTCCCTGGTGAGCCGCATGACCATTTTTGAACGCGGGCCCAGCCTTCAAATGGGAACCAAAAGCGTGGTTTAGTACATTTAAGATTTTTAAAGTAGTTTTGTTATGATGACTGCTGTTTTACGCCGCGGTTCGCGTTCCGGAAGTTATCACAAGAATGTTGAGTTATGACTCCCCCTGGGGAGTCATAACTCAACATTCTTATGATGACTGGGGTCCTTTTTCCCGTAACTCAGCATTCTTATGATAACTTTCGGAACGCAAACTGCGGCGTAAAACAGCAGTTATCATAAAAAACCACTTCAAAAACTTGTAAAGCCTTCGGCCTCGCGGTTCCATGCCGATATCTAACGATTACGGCTGACCGGCTCACCAAGTTAAACGTGTGAGTGCTGTAAGGCTACGGCATAAAAGCCGTTAAGCTGAGAGGGTAAAAGCGGCCCTGGTGGCGTAACGGATAGCGCACTCGCCCGGAAAGAGGTGCGGGTTCGACCCCGGTTCCGGTTTTTGCCCATAACTCAGCATTCTTGTGACAATAATTGTTTCTGAAGCCACCATCCTACCAAGCACACTGTTCCAACTCACCTAATGAAGTGACATATTGATCAAGGATATTTGCAGCTTCTTCTAGTCGGCGTGTGCTTTCATCGAGTTCGTCGATTTGTTGCAGATATGGACGTAGCGATTCATCTGAAACCTTCGAAGAACATAAACACTAAACACATTGTCAAGCTTAACAGGTAAAGCATTCGACGTTGATCAATCCCATTCCGGTATCAGCCTGCATTTCAGTTTCACTTCAAACTGCAGTGGCATTTTGAATACAAATCAGTCTGGCTTTACGCGCCAGGGACAGCGCACAGTTCAGCGTTTTCATCCTACCATACAAGGCTGGCACTAACTAGCTGACCCCAAAGGCATGATCAGTTGATTATTCCCTGCGCCAATCAGTCCGAAATTTGACCCAGGTCGAGTGCGTGGTGCAGCCTAGTCCGTCTCAGGGATAAGGAATGTACCAAGTAGAAGTCGTGGCACGTGACGCCGCCTATCGAACGCAGTGTTCTGGGGTAAAACCATCAGCTCCTGTTGGGGATAGCAAAAGCCTTCCTTCGTCCAAGATTGCTTTATTCGTATTAGACTCACCCGGAAGGGAAACTCCGAATCGTAGACGGACAAACACTCACATTTCACGGTGTAGACTGAATCGCATTCAAACGCCTGGGAATTTCAAATGGAAAGCAAATGCGTGGCATCCACAAATTAGATGCCACTCTCCTTTCCTGCAGCGACCGAATACCAGCCTTGATGGTCCCGCACTACGACGCTGCACTCTGTTTTGGAGAGAACTTGGTAGGATGGTAGATTGCTAAAGGTGGTTGTACGAGAGGAGAAAACTTGTGTGGTGAGGGGGAGGGGTCCTATATTACAAAGATTTTTCACAACGCAACGATGGACCCTGTTCATAACGGTAATACAAACCCTATTCAACGCCCAGTGAAGAAGGCCACAAAACTCTTACACCGGAAAAAATGGATCTACTTTCAGAATTTCCAAAAAAAGAACAGTATAAAATATGAGAATTGCCACTTACATTTATTATTTAGACGCGCAAGTTTTTCAGATACTTTGTCAGCGACTGCACGCATATCGACATATCTCTGAGCTGATGCCATGTTCATATCCTCAAGAAGCTTGTATTCATCGATAGTACCTGGAACAGCAGATTAGTACCCCAACAATAAAGTTGCCGGCCTGCCTCAAAGGCTACAATGATGAGTTAGAGAACGACAAAAAGCTTCACTCAGGATTGACAAAAACGATGACTCGCACGCTGCGACCCTTCACCTCAGACTTTCCTTCCCCGCTGAAATTCTTGACACCTCCACAAAAGTGCCGAACATCAGTTCTCTTTATCGTCTTTATCGCCCTCCCAGTGAACCGTACCCTATGTTTTGCAATAAAAGGCGCATCCATGCATCTCCCGGGCACACCTTCGCCGGAAAACCCGCATATTTCCCTTTATCGCTCTATTTTTGCTTGTTTGTGGTTTGTTAGATTAGATGGGAATAATCTATATCCAATAAGAGGTTTTGGAAATCCATGTCTAGAAGATTCTTCTTTGATACAAAAAAGACAAAGAAGCGACTTCTGGGCCTAGCGACTTCCCACGCGATCTCGCTCGCGTCGCTGCGCGAACAAATGCGCCTATAAAGGATAAGGATAAAGTCCTCGCCGTTGATCAATCCCTTTGTGGGATGCGGCACGCATTCTACTTCCATTCAGAATCGTAGTGGCTTATTGAATGCGATGTGGCCTATACAATGACTTGCGGGGCCAGCCGATGTACAAGGCAGTGTTATTATCCTCCTAGACAAATCTGATTTGCCGTCCTCGGAGGGTAGAAAGCTTGGTTGGCCCAGGCGGGAGTCGACGAGGGATCTGAACCCGGGACCGCGCGAGTGATGAGCGCGCCATTTGTCACTACACCACCAAATGCGCCTATAATCCAGAAAATAAGGTAATTCTTCTAAGGTGCTACACGTCCCTTCTGAGGTGCTACACGTCGGAGGAACTCTATACACTCGAAATCCCTGAGATGTGGTAGGCGTGGCTGCGTACTTCAACTAAATGCGGCGGTGACCGTGCTTTTCGGGAAATATTTATTTTGACGTTATTGTGGTCATGTCTCCATCCAACACTGAAGAAGATGACAGTTCTAACAAACTGAAGTATCCCACCAGTAGCTCATTCTTGGTCGTGTTCAAATGCCCCGCCTACTCCATCTTTGGGATAAGGAGTGTAAATGACCTCAATGACTTCTGTTGTAAAACTAAGCCTCCAAGTAACGTGAAGTGTTACAGTACCTTGAATCTGCGATTGCAAGAAGGCGCCAACTCGATCGTACATCACATCTGCGAGATACTTGATTTCCGGTCCAGGAGCAGGTGTTGACGGTTCAGGTGGTGAAGATGTCGATGCTCGCTCGTTTATCTCGGCCATTTAGGAAAGACTCAGACAGGAACGCCTCAGAGACAGAAGACACCTGAAAATCGATTGATCAGTGTACTATAAGGTTTGCTAATAAACAAAACGACAGTATCAATCATTTGACCGCACTGCTGAGCGAGTTTTTCCCACACAAATAGGCATAGATTAAAGGCAAAGCCCGCGACCACAGGTTGCGGGTAACAAGCTCAAATACGAACGACAAAGTGTTAGGTAACTGACTACTGGAGAAAAGAAGCAGAAAAAACAGCCCGAAATGCCCTAAATAGGACTCCATGCCGACTCCAACTTGCACGTGCATGCAATGAAGAGAAACGCATGTTTGTACGAATTTCCAGTC